TTTCAGATTTGATGAAACATGATATAAATCAATTATATTATACACTGAATTTACCTTTTTCCAAGATTTTACTGACTGTCATTACTATATTATGCATGGTAGAAGACATGACAAACTGCAAAACCCACAGAAGCATGTTTGGTAGACTGAAAAATTCAAGTCCCTCACCTCATTCTTACTGTAATTTGATTTGTTCTGCACACTTGCCTGTACATATGAGACTTGGGGAGCTAGTGTATAGAGTTTTGTGAGCTGAAGCATGAAGCCTCTGCTCAGTCACCTCTGAAAGGCTGTGCTCACAAATGCAGCACATATAGATTCATGTTAAGACCTTTAAACACTGAGCCCAGAGCACGACATGTGGAGGGGAGTGGGTTAGGCCTCAGGGGCCACACCACAGAAGAGAATTGAAATCTTACACTGCTCTTATGAAATCATCTTTGTTACTTTTATACTCCTGACCTAGACAGAAGATACATGTCTAATCTTAAAACATACCCACTGGATCACAAGGAAACATGTACTACTAGACACTGGAGAGAGGAAAATCTGTAGCTTCTGTTGAATAGCTTTAAGAGTTAGGCAGATTAAAGCAATGATACTATTGAGAAGAGGGAAATAGATAGAAATAAAGACATCCAAGACAGCTCATATTAGGTAGCTTGGCCAATGGTCAGTTAAGACTACATGTTTTATGTATTTAAACTTAGATGTGCACAAAATATACAGAGCGTTCTATTCTATGGTGCTATGCGCTAGGTGCCTTATTGTTACAATATACAGTTAGAGGTAATAGTTTTATTACTGAGGCACTGAGGGACATAATGACAATGGTACACACAGAAGAAGAAAAAAAACTTTAAAAAATGAAGAGATCGATGAAGCCAATAAAAGGCATCATAAACTCAGTTAAGATAAGAAGATGTAAACAGAGGATATATAGAATTATAGAGACTGATGATGACTTGCTGTGGTAGTAGTTGTAAAGTAAAAATGTATCAAAAAGATTAAGAGTTACTCAAATACACAATTGTCCATTAACACTTCAGGAATATTTTTTTTTAATTTCTGCATATTTTGTCTTATACAGCAGTTCTCATTTAAAGTATGGCGTGCAGAACACAGATGCTCAGCAGGTGCAGCCCAGTCTCCTTCATGCTACATCTAGTATCTTATTTTATTCACCTCACCTGTGTCCTCTGGGTGCATAACCTTGCAGGAACAACAAAGCACAACATGGACATAAATCTATAGCCCCTTCCGATGTAACTTCTCCTGCAATATTTCAAAATAACACGCAGTTATGACCTGTCTTACAAAACCCCTCCTCACCCACTCTCCTTCTTCATGGAGTTGACAGTGTAACTATGCTTTTAATTTTTCACATCACCTCGCTGCATGCATTTATGTAACGGTTTTAATCTGGAAGTGTTTTTATCTCTTGATTCATTTTCCTAGCATAAACTAAAGCATTATTGTCTTTTAGTAGTTGTAGATGCACATAGTCATAGATTGGTCAGTTATGGTGTACTCCATTCTGTTTTGGCATATTTATCTATTGCAAAAGTATGATTGAATTTCTTCATTTTGCCTGTCTAAAGCTAAATGTACTCTTGAGAATTGTGGGTTCTCTGTTGTTATTCAAGTGCAGCTACTAAGTATTATGTACATCAGTAGTATGCTGCCATCTCTTGGTTAGTAAGGGACATTGCAATGCCATAAAGGAATACCCTTTGTGAAGCTTTGTAGTAAGTCACACAGTTCGACTGGTTCCACTCATACATTAACATAATATGCATATTTTTTAATTTTGAACCCTAAGTATAATGTGTTTTTACTTTATTATATCCTATATCCACCATATGCATATTAATACAATATGCTATTTAGGTCACTTTTAGTTGTTATATGAACAAAGTAAAGTTCTACAAATTACCAATCATTATTTGTGTGAAATTCTAAATTATCTTGCAGTGCTCTATAGTTCTTATAAATATGGAATAGTTGTGTGGTATTGACTGAAAATTAATTCAGTGCAACGAGTCTTAGTTATCAATAATAAATGTGTTTATGGAAGAAGCTTCATAAAACTCTGAGTGTATAGAGAAAGAAATAGCAATAAGAAACAATTGAGATTTAATAAAGAAAAAGTACATCCCTGTAAAACAAAATATCTAAAAGTTTTAATAACGCTCGGTGTGAAAAGCTTTAGGCTGTTGCAGAGTGAGGTTTGGTTTTGGTTTATTTGTCAGTATTAAATGCCCAAATAAATTCAAATATATTAAAGGTGCATTGTGTAACTTTTTTGGTAGAGGGTCTGTCAAATGTTTTTTCTTTAATTAGATGCTATTACAATGTCTGGAATGTTTCACAGTGTGGCATTAAAACTTTATCTTCAGGGAGACCAAACCAGACCAAGTTACAGGTCAGATCTGTGGAGAGGCAACCCCGCTCACAGTCAGAATACCTGTCTCTAGGGATTTTTGAGCTATAAAACCATCTGTAATTGAATACATGTAGAGCTGTTTAATACTGTGGCACATTCCAGGCAAAGCAATGACATATCCATAGAAACAAGCAGACCATACACCAGAAAAGTTACACAATGCATCTTTAAGTAGCTTGTAAATGTTTGTAAATTAATTTAACACTATAAGCTTGATGTTAAGGGACTACTTTTTTTCAGCTTATATTTTAATGGTCCTACTTTACGCAAAATTAACTCTTTTTAAGCTTTTAGTCATGTTGGACTTTTGTTACCTCATCTAAAACTAACTAAACTAACAATTGTGTTTTGTTGCATTAACCATGTTATTATTAGTCTATCTACATCTCCAAAGCTCACGATGCACTGTTTCACCTAGTGATGTCATGAAGTAGGAGTTTTCAAATTAACAACTCCCTTTTACCTTTAGTTCAGTAGAGAGTTGCGATTCCAGGCGTGAAATGATCCAAATGATTCAAGTGAAGATGTATGGAGTTTAAAAACACAGTAGAGCACTTCCTGTGTTACCTCATCACAGCACAAGGTGGAACTGAATGTTTTCTGTTTGAGAGGAAAGGACTCACCCTAAATATGCACTATTTTTGTGTTAAACATGTGTGAATGAAACAAAACATAAGTCCAGGTATGTTTGTGATCAGGAAACAACATTATAACATAGATTAGAAAATAGCATAATATGGGCCCTTTAAATTTCAATGCATATGATCAAATTCATGAATTATTACAATAGGTCTGCTTGTTATATAATTAAGAACTTAAGTATAGGTGCATTACGATACACGAGGTGTTACAGTACTTGTATTGTGAAGGAAATGCACATTCACCACTTTATGCCTGACTTTGACTTCATGCTAACTTAATCTGTTTAAGGATGAACTCAGATCACCAAATTGCATGACAGCACCCATCCGCTACTAGCCATGACCTCTAAGTGAAAGGAGAATAGCACACACCATCAGCAATGATAGAGCAAGTTTCCAGGCCTTACACAACTCCTATGCAATATTAAAGGAGTATTTATGAATGGCATCATATTCATAGTATCCACAGTCTATACACTATACATATAACTGTAGTAAATGAAATAGACTTTTTCTTTCTTGTTTATGCCTCAAATAATGTGTGACTTGTTAGAAAACTAGAAAGCTGAAAAATTGTAGGTCATGAATTTTTTAAGCATTGAGAGGTTTTTCTGTAGCACTCACAGAAGAGGAGGGGAGGGGGCGTGAATTTACATATCTGGCTTTCACTTTGCAACCACCTCATGCACCGTGGCAACCATTTTATAATCTTACACATGTATTGACTTAGCCTCAGTATTGCTGTGTTAATTCTACCACTTACAAACAATCTGAATGTTGATCAGTGGGAAAATGTAGTAATTTTCCTCCTCCAAATGCAGGCGCAGTCTGATTTGATTTGAATTGAATATGCTATTAAAGTCATAATAGACTTTTTGCATCAGTATAATGCAAGTGCTTACTCAGTGTCATATTTCATACCACTGTTAGATAAGACTTTATTATAGTAAGACAGAATTTCAATATCCATTGGAAAATTACTCACTGAATACATAAAGTAAACAAAAGGACAACAACAAGCTAGTGTACTCAGATTCGGATCCAAGTCAGCTCATATAAAAAAGGTGCTGCTGACTAAAAGACAGAGTATTTTGCTATGGAGAGACCTTCACCAAGGATCTTGCACAATTTCTGCCTATATCTGAACATGGCGAGATTGTAGTTCAGACAATGGGTAGTTCATAGTAAAATTACTTGTGTAGATCATTAATGTAGAATCTCTGTAAAAAATAAATTAATAAAAAAAAAAAAAAGTATATATAATCAAAATCATAAAAAAGTCATTATCAAGTAGTACTATCTTTTGTCCAATAAATGCCAAACAGGCAAACAGTGTCCTGAAAAACAACTACATGAGGGAATGAATTACTATTTTCTATAGCTAATAAATTTGGTTTAGTTATTAATATTACCAATGATTATTTTTATAATAATTCTATTTTCATGACCCTTCCATATCAACATTCTCTCAGCTATATTAAATATGCAATATGTTGAGGAAGTTTTCATAGTTAGTTTTAAATTGTTAATTACTATCACCATTTTCATCATTCCGAAATCCCTGGATGCACAACAAGAGGGCATGCCTGCTTAGTCCTGTTATTTCCCCACTTACTCGTTACACCTCAAATGACACCTTAGGGAGCACTTCGCAGATTTATTAGCGCTAAGTAGTTACTGGTCTTATTGGTCTGTTGCAATGAATTGTGTTTCTTGACAATTTGTCCTTCACCTTTTCTCAAATGCGTTAATAGTTATTCAGTTGTGCCAAAAACATGGTGAAACATGTTGAAGAGGCAGGCTAGGGGAGTGAGAGAGCACCCTGACAGATGAGTGGAGGGGAGGGAGTGGCGCAGAGAGGGAGCTTTATATACTGTATGTGCAACAGAGAGCGCGCCAGTCTCGTGTGTGTAGAAATGCTAGTGAACTGGTTATTGCAATAGTAGAGGCCATTTATGCTTTATAAGGAAGAGGAATCAACAAGGACTACACGCTGGGTTGTTTAGCTTAGGCTGGTTTCCACAGCGACAACATGGGTGCAGTGGTGGGCACTTTGACCATGCAAACCAAACAGAGGAGACCATCTCGAGGTAGGAAAGTATGAATCATTAGCAAAGTAGTTGAATTTAAAAGCAAAGAGTTGTTCTGTAATTACGCCTACTACATTTTACCACACTTGTGAATTATTTAACTAGACTGACTGAGCCTTTGAACTCCAAAATGTGTGTCAAATGATAGGACAAAAAAAAAAAAATCTTTCACAGGATTAAGGCTGATCTAAGTGTCCCAGATTTACAAATATGGGACACCAAACACATGATGTAGAGATTACAGTGTGCCATAAAGTAGGTTGTCTTTGGGTGAGACTAAAAGCAGCTAAAATCACTAGCCTGCATTGTTGCATTATTATTGTGTGGTAGCTGTGAGTGAGAGAAGAGGGGGATCGGAGGTTGGGGCTCTGTGAATTAACACGCAGCTCACATATCATACGTCTCTCCGCGGCTGTATGCTTGGGAATCGGGTTGTCATGGAGACTGGGTTGAAGGGGGCATAATAAAAAGGAGGGACGTTGAACAATGGACGGGACAAGTGGATGAGTAAGACAGTGATATTGCTCTTCAAGGGCTGATGGATTTGTATACGTGTTAGCCAAAACATGCTGAGGACTCCCTGCTGTTTCAGACCCATTAGTGCCTTTAATGGCTGGTTTTAAGATAAGAACAGGTAGATATAGATTTAGTGATGCCAAGCGTAAAAAGCAAATATGTTGTCATTGCTTACTTGTTGCATTTAAGCAGCCAATCTCAAATAGATGGTACACATAAAGACAATAGTCCTTTCTATTTATTTACATATACAAATGCATTGTTCATGTGGCATACTTCTATACATTAGAGATCTGATGTTATGTTAGCAATTCCTATTTTGTTGGAAGTATCGCTCAGTGTTGTTTCTATTTTTGCGGTTAATTTTAGGTTTACTTCTTTAACCTCCACCATGGCGGAACTTTGCCCCAGATGTTGCCAAATAAGCAGTTAGCAACGCTTCAGTGGACAGTTTAAAGACCGAGGAACACAGACCTTGACATTCACTCCTTGCCTCACAGTAACTGAGACATTGTTTTAAAAGAAATTCAGCAAAAAGTATTTATTTAACTTAGGTTTTGCCCTTGAGATTATTAATAATTTCACACTTTAATCAAATTTCCCAGATAATACCTGTTTTTTAATAATTTAAGAATAGTAGTACTGTTGGTCTCATTTTTTATTCATTCGTTACTTTACTTAATATTTCATTCATGTCAGTAAAGTACATGTTAAATTAATTAAGGACAATGGGCAGTAAAAGAGCACTAGACAGTTGGACAGGAGCAGCCATCTGCCATGTGAAAGATACAAGCCGATACAGGGATACTTGCTTCTTTAGCTAAATTACATTGCTGTCCATTCTTTCCATGAATCCAGTTTTGTCCTGCATATTTCTTATTTCATTTTTCTAGAGTTTAAATCAGAGATATTGCGTGAGCTGTGAGCACAGGTGTTAAACATATATAATAACATGACTAGAATTTAGAGTTGTCAAAATCATTTATTATTGACTCAACAATTGCACCTGAAAACATCATGCACCTTAGCTGTATTGGTTCAGTTACAGTTTCAAGTCAATTTCTTCCGTCATTGAGACAAATTACAAGAATGCATGTTAAACAGATGCATTTCAGCTATCAGGTAAAATAGTTACAATCAATAAGTCAAGTCTTTAACTCCCTGTGGCAATTAAAAGCACCACAGTGACAAATGTCCCAGATCTGTTCACATCAGAGATTGTATATTTGCCCTGTGTACATATGCTGTGCACTCCCCTCCCCTCTTCTCCTTCCTGTCATCTCTGTTCACACATCACACTTTTCACCCTCTCCCCCAATCAACACCTTGCCTCTCCTTGCACCTCTTTCTGTTAAATGGAAGATACCACTGAAAATGGCTCAATGTTGGATCATATGTCAGAGCCCATGTATGAAAATAGACCACATTTGTATTGTAGATTTATGGGCATGCTGATACCTTTTTGGATTCTGTTGACACTTCAATAGCTCAAACAAATTTATCATGGCTGTCTATCTCCATGACAACAGATTCCTTGGGGTTCTTGTAAGTGAAGCCAATACAGCACAGAGGGAGGTGAAGGGTGAGGACACTATAATTATATCTGTCATAATTACTAAATCAACTTATGCTCAATATATGATGGAGAAAAAACATATTTTATAATTCATGCTTGTAGCTTTTCTTTGCACTGCGGGGAATTTGTTATTTTTTATGGCCTGTGTGATTACGGTACATTTGAGCAGCAGCTGGTTGAATAATTAACATATATGACACATTTTATATACTACAGAACTAATCATTAAAGTGTGTAAATGTGCAATTTATCCATTGTCACATTTAAGTAATCTGTCATATTTTAAGTCATTTGTTTTAGATAAGATCTAGGAAAGTAAAGATGTAGCATGTATGATTTAACGTTTATGTAAACATCATCAAGAGTCCTGGTCAAGAGGCAGCAAAGTTTAACACAGTTACAACATCCATACAAACAACAATAAAATAATTTAAGGATTGCAGATTAAGTCAAGTGCACATTATTGAGATAGTCATTAAAGGGCCTATATGATGCTTTTCTAATATTCTGATCTATGTTATAATGTTGTTTCCTCTCAAAAACATACCTGCAATTGTGTTTTGTTTCATTCACACCCTGCACATTTAGGAGTTCTTCTCTCGACCTGAAAACACTCACCTTGGGATGCCACGTGGTAATATAGGAAGTGCTCCACTATGTTTTTAAGCTCCATACACCTTAACGAGAATCATTTGAATGATTTCAGACCTGGAATTGCCAATGTCTAACAGTAACCTTTTACTGTTGCCATTAACTTGAAAACTACCATTTCATGACATCACAAGGTGGAACAGAGCATTTTGTGCTTTGGAGATATAGACAAATACAAAAAAAGAAGAAATCTTTAAAGATAAGAGCTCAGTCAATTTAGTCTTTCTGCAACATGTTCCAAGCAAAAGGAGCTGAGTGGACAAAGGCTTTCTTCCCCAGCTCTGAGCGACACAAGGAGCAGAGAGTAACAGCTGATCATTTCATCATAAGCAGTAAGAGTCAACACTTTTCTGTGTGATTAAAGTACAAATGTAGGGAGACAGTAGTCCAAGCATAGTCACGTAAATTTAAGTATACCAATGGCCCTGCTTTGTAGTGGAAAGAGAAGGTCATCCCACTCGTGAGAACAAATCACAGTGATGCGTCATAGCTCTACAGTTAATAATGAACCTCAGTGAGGCATGATAAACAGGACAAGAAGAAGCATTCATACACAAAAGATCACCATAATTAATCACAGCAAAGAGGAGAATTTAGCTGCTTATTAACTATTTAACTAGATATGTATTTCAATGTCAATCACTATGTTTATATGCGCTGCACAGTTTTGTATAATTTCACTGGTACATTTATAGACATGTTGAATTATGTGCACTGTCCTGTACTTAATGTCCCTGTAAAAGATCATATATTACACAAAGCTGACTCTTGTGAGCTTTCACCATGTTATAATGCTGTTTCCTCCTCAAAAAACATACTTGGAGTTGTGTTTTGTGTTTTGTTTCATTTACACACATGCACATTCATTTGCACATTTTCTGTCTACATCTCCAAAGCTCAGTATGCGCTCTTCCACCTTGTGATGTCATGAAGTGGTAGTTTTCAAGATAATTTTACTTTTAGTTCAGTAGAGATTGGAAATTCCAGGTCTGAAATTATCCAAATGATTCTAATGAATGTGTATGGCGTTTAAAAACACAGTGGCGCACTCTATATTACCACATGACATCACAAGGTGGAACACAGAGTTTTTTTGTTTGAGAGAAGAACCTAAATATGCAGGGTTTGTGTGTTAATCATGTGTGAATGAAACAAAACACAACTCCAGGTGACATATGACATGATGATAGAACAGAGAAAACTGTAATATATCCCTTTAAATAAACCAAACTTATAAAACAAAATATAGCCAGTTATGAACAATGATGTCTGATAACATACTTTTTAAAGATCCATCAAAAAGGAAACAGTGACTGTTATTAAAGAATGGGCATTTTATACATGTCATGTGTAAAGTTAAATGCTCTATAAGTGAAGAAAGGAATATTTATGGATAACATAAAAGTAGAGTTAATGAGTGGCTGGTGCTCAAAGTTAATTATCATTGCACCTTGTTTGTGCTGCTGGGAATGTTTAGACAGTGATTGACTCCAGGGTGCTGTGTGATGCATAACAAATACTTAGGGGTATGAGTTGTGGTTAATGGGATTCAATATGACGGGAGTATAGGGTGTTGATAATTGTATTTAGTGTTTGCTTTCCTTTCTCTTGTGCATTAGAACAATCAGTAACCTGGAGGCACTATACAGTGGTATCTTGCAAAACAACAGGGGGCTGGGTTAAAGTACGGTATAATTTAGTTCAAAGATGCTTGATTTATTGAACCACTGCTACAGCTAAAAGTGAATCATGGGTGTTACTGGCGTCATAGTTGAATGTGAGACTCAAGAGGTTTTTAAGCAGCTAGGGGTGTAAAGATTAACTGATTAATTAATAATCATTATTTTACAGGTCACAATATAATTCTAAGAATAAAAAATATTATTTGAGAGAATTTTAGTCATATTAAAGTGTCTTTTCAATTCCCCTTTTTAAATTCTTTATTCTTTACTTGTCTGGGACCATGTATAAATTAAATAAATTAATCTTACAAAAGAAAAGCTGATTTGTTCGAGATTTAGCTACATCTGCAGTCCCTGGGCAGGTGAACACGCATTAAAAATACGCATTTCTTTCCTATTACATTATAAGACTAACTTAATTCATCATTAATATTAGCAGAAACTTACAATAAAATGTGTTAAATTAAGTATGTGCAAGTTTGTACAGTGAATACATTGATTACAGTACAAAACTTCTAGTGAAATAGTTAAAATCTACAGACAATTTCAGAATGTTTGAATTTATAAAGGTGGTCACATGCCAGAAAAATGTCGATAAGATTATAGTACAAGTATCAAAATTGTCACTGTTGGTGGTTATATGGTGTTTTTTTAATTTGTGATTATTTTTATATTTAAACAATTTCTACTCAGATATAACGTGATATATTTCACCTCAGGCCGAGCACTCAACCCTGTTAGGTCTATAAGAAAAAAATAAATAAATGTAATGATATATCACTCTACTTATCTTAATATGGGTTAGTATGTGTGTCCTATTTCACAGTTTCTCTCTCCTGGTTCCATTTGACCTTGTTTGCCCTTTCCCCAACAATACCACTTTCTTATAATAATATATATTGTGATCATGACCTCATTTCGTCTGCAATCCTCTCCACACAATAAATAATACCATGAGCTTTTCCTAATCTGGTTTTCTTGCTGGTATTGCTTGCTGAACTATTGGGATGTGCTCTGTGTGTTAGCATTTTGCCCACAGCCCTGTGTACAGTCACAGTGATAAACATTAGCCTGCAGCAAACCCAAGTCAACACACCATTAACTGCCATCGATCTTTATGTTACCATTAATAAAAGCCCTCAGCTCCCCATGTTAGGTAACATTTGTCAAACAGCACTCCCCAATACCCACTTTCTATTCCTTTTTCTATTATTTTCACTTCAATGGAGCTTTGATATATGTTACGGTTTGATATGAAAAAATTACCATAAATGTAATTTCTTAGCTGCTGTATGAAATGTTCTTCTGTTTCCTTAGATAAAACCGATGATGAACTGGAAATGACCATGGTGTGTCACAGACCAGAAGGCCTGGAGCAGTTAGAAGCACAGACCAATTTCACCAAACAGGAGTTGCAAATACTCTATCGGGGATTTAAAAATGTAAGGAGAAAAACAACCAGCTTTTGTCATGTTATTTCACTACACTTTCCTTGCACATGTATTTGTTTTGGTACTGTAGTAGTAGAATGTCATTAAATTATATAGTTTTGCTGTAAGGTTGAATTAAAGTAAGGTGAGAGGAGTAGTTTTAGTAGGCCTGTCAGGATAATTACTATATCGAGTATGATGAAACAATAATTTTTCAGTATTTATCAACAGTAACTTTCTATTGTATTAGTGGGAAAATGTTAGTTATTTTTTCTTTTCTACCATAGGATTTGAACTGCAAATAGTTGATTGATTTACTTCTATGACTCATTATAGATACAAATTACTACTACTAAAGTGTCTCATTCTGCTATTTATTTATTGCAGTTCATGTTTTTAACCATATTATGCATTTAGGATACTTTTTGGGGATAGTTCTAAGGAGTGTTGTGTCAGTGGCATAAATTGGTTTCAATATGAATCTATATTTTCTTCAGCAATATGTCAAACTTTAAAATCTGTTATCGTGACAGGCCTAAGAATGAGGTACAATATTGGGAGTAGCAGAGAAAGTAGTGATATCACTTTTGTGTTCATTTTCCAAGTGTGTTTAAAAAATACTGATGCAAACATACTTTCATTTTCAAGTAGTATTTATGAAAACAACCTTTAACTAATAATTAGCAACAGCAAGAGGAAAGGACAGTTTAGTGTACCTTTCGCCATTCAGTTGTTGAAATGTACATGCATAAGGACAAATATTTGTACAAATGTAAATTATAGATATGCTGAAAAAAGTAATGTTTTGTAATTTTTTTTGAAAATTGCTGCGACAGAAAGTTGGCTAATAGTTATTTTTTAGTTTGTTTGTCTTTGTTAAGGGGAAGGTTTAATAAGACTTGGTCAACTTCATGCTCCTATTCTGTCATGTATTCAAACTGTACTGTTGTTTGATCTCATGGTAATTAAGACTGATACATGAAAAAATAAAAATAAATTGATTGATTGAAATAATTAGCTAGAATCCTAAATACATTAAAAAGGTAATCAAAGATGATTTCTCTATCTTGTTTTAATAGGAATGTCCAAGCGGTGTGGTGAACGAGGAGACTTTTAAACATATTTATGCTCAGTTCTTTCCGCATGGAGGTAATATTTGATTCCCTATCACATCAGCACTAACTGGCACTTTGGTAAATTTCTCAGGAAAGCATTTAATACCCTTTTTAATATCCCTTTTTCAGATGCAAGCATGTACGCTCATTATTTATTTAATGCATTTGACACAACAAACAACGGCTCTATCAAGTTTAAGGTAGACATTTCTTTAATTCTTCCCATTGAGCTGCTTCTGTCTTTTTTATGAGCATATTAATGTCCACAATCAGTTCTGACATAATGATAAAAATAATGTGCCAGAGATAGCGCAGTAGTTAAATTTTATCCATTGTCGAAAGTAGGTAAAAACAATACATATTCAATTAGAGAACAACATGCAGGTTAACTTGTTGCCTCATACATGGAACTGATGTATGTTTGTTTTATTTTTCACCCCAACAGGACTTTGTAATGGGTTTGTCCATACTTCTTAGAGGAACCTTGCAGGAAAAACTGGAGTGGACATTTCACCTTTATGACATCAACCGAGATGGATATATAAATAGAGAGGTATCAGCTCTGTACAGGTGCATGCAAGTAAATCTTCAATTTGGACCACACCACTGTGAGAAGTCCCCGATCTTGTCCGATCTCTGAGCAACGTAGGGTCAGGCTTAGTTAGTACTGGTCTGGATGGGAGATCACTGGGAATAACAGGTGCTGTGGTGGGACAGCAGTGACTAAATGGTAAGAGCACTTTCTTGCTCCAAGGGCAGCTTATTGTTGTTGTGTCCCTGGGAAAGACACTTCACTCACATTGCCTGTAATGTCCATGTACATAATGCATGTTCTTTAACATGCATAATTTCTACCAAATAAAACTAGTAATAATAATAATTACATTAGATAAACATTATTATTCATAAACCAGAATTTGATTTAAATCTGCTGCTGGTCCCATAAAATATAATATGTATTTAAATATTAAAATGTCTTGAAGGTGACACTTAATACTTAATCTTTAGAGTGAAAATATTTTTTTCAGCCAATGTTTTTATGTTTCAGGAAATGACTGAGATTGTCAGAGCCATCTATGACATGATGGGAAAGTACACGTATCCTGCACTGAAGGGGGACGTCCCACAGCAGCATGTGGATGCCTTCTTCCAGGTATGCCCCAGTCATTTACATACATATTGAAAACCACTGACTTACCACTTGATTTAACTCACCAAGGCTTGACATCATTCATATTGCCTGTGTGATTTTTTTATTAATTTTTTTGTTTTAGAAAATGGACAAAAACAAAGATGGTGTTGTAACAATGGATGAATTTATTATAGCATGTCAAGAGGTCAGTATTCTATTATTATATTTTTAATATAATAGTTTTCAACAGAATGTTGAGAGTCACCAGTGCTTCGGGCTTTTCTGTAAATGAAATTATAAATCTTTTTTTTTTTTTTTTTTTCTGGGTTTGCCTGCAGGACGAGACAATGATGAGATCCATGCAGCTGTTTGAAAATGTAATGTAGGAGCAGAGGATTCAGCATAAAACAAAATCAAAGAGAAAGTCTGAGGGCTTGGTGTGTATGGGTGTGTGCGTGTGTGTATCTAAGTATGAGTGTGAATGTAGACAATAGGAACCATATCTGGTCTCTAGACTCTGGACAAAGGGACTATTATTTCACTGGACCTCAGATTAAAATGCTATGGCCTCTTCAGTGACTGGTAAGAGACAATTTAAAAGAATGGTGCATATAAGGCTGCACAATACCAGAAAAGAGCTATTGCACATCTAGCCATTTCATTTACTTTGCCAAAATATGTTCTTTATTGCCAAAAATAAAATGCATGCTTTTGCAAGTTTTTGTTAAAATGATAAAGGAATAGGGCCATAAAGGGACTTAACATATTTCCATTGACATACATACATACATTACATTATGCATTATATGTTGTTTATCACCATTTAGGGATTGGTGTACTTGTACATTGACCTTGCTGTATTGCTAAATCAGCTGTAGCTTGCTGTTTATTGTCTCATTGGAACATCTATGTCTTGTGTCTTGTATGTTAAAGGCCGGTGAAGATCTAATTACGTCTACTCAAAAATATGTTTTTTAATAATATTTTAATATCTTCTCTGCGGCTTAGTTTCTTGTAATTGTGTAATGTAATAAAGTGTACCCATTTAATGAAGTGCCCAATAATATATATAACTCTAAAAGAAAACTGCACATGTGAGAAGTGGTGTAATCCTGCAAATTAAATGTACATTAAAATTCATATGAATATAATATATAATCTTGCAGGATATACACTGAATGTAATCTTATTGGAATGTTATATCGATGGCACTGAGGAGGGCTCCATCTGTGTTAACATTTGGCCCTGCCTCCTTTTTCCAAAACCAAGATGTGATGTCACTCTGATGTGCAGACACAGTATTGGGCTAAATGAGTGACTCATGCTGGCTCTCTGCTGCTCACTGTGTTGCAGGGTGCGTTTTAAAGCACCACCATAATAGAACCTCACCAAGCTCTGGGCACACAAACTCTGAAATATTCATCACTCTTTTTGCTGTTTTACTTGATGCTTTGAAGGACTTGCTCTTAGCTGTATAAGTCATTACACATCCGTTTGACATCACAGCTTTGGTTTTTCATAATCATATGGATGTCAAGGTTGAAGAGAGGATTATTGTATCTCACAAACATTAATTTATTTTAAGCCATATAAATAAATATTTAAGTTATTAAATTGAGTTTGAAGTCTTTGTTTAAAAAAAAGAAAAAAACATTTCTACAGTCATCATAAAATGTCTTCTTTAGCCTATTCAGTATTATAGTATTGTAGTATTATAGTATTATAGTATTGGCAAGGCAAGGCAAGTTTATTTGTATTTGTCATATAACGGTATTATATAACAATATTGCAAATTTATTTATTTATTTATTTAGTTCATTGGGACAGAGCATGTTAATGGACAAACATGACACAACATGAATGTAAACACACTGGATTGTAATCTAAGGCAAATTTCCATTCGTTGTTCCAAAGGGCTGGGGTCACAGGGGGTCAAACAATAAAATATTACACGCTCCTTTCATTGCACAGTTGCCACAATGCACACTTCACTTATTGCACACTGGGATGAGGAACTGGAGATACTCTCAGTATCTGTTTAAATTTATTTTCTATTTTTATGGAGGATAACAGACAAAATGCAAATTATGAGAATAATTTTCTCGATTACTCATTGGCAATTTTATATCAGTTTTGTAATATACATTTTGTACAGATCCCAAACCATAAAAATACTTAAGTAAAAATATCACATGAAAAAATCAACTTAAGTAAAAGTATTAAAGTACCCATTTAAGAATGTACTTAAAGAGTAAAAAGCAAAAGTATTTTGTGAGCTTCAAATGTAGTGATATGTGCTGAATAGAAATGTTTTTTTTTTTCCAACTGTTTTTATTTGTAATATTACTCTGATGATGATTATTATTATTTGATACAGATACTTGGTCTCAAATGTAGCCTAATGATGTCAAAGTAAAAAGTATCCACTTTAAATTATTTAAATTGAAATTATTTTAAATGATTTAAATTTAAAGTAAAATTCTTTAAATTTAAATACGGACACTTAACATTTTTTACTTTATTACGTTCCACTCATTATACAGTCTTTGGTTCCACCACTGCTGATTGGTTCATTAACTTTACCAGAATATAGAAATCTGCAAAATAACAGTAGTTAATTGCTGTGGTGTACCCTGAAACCCTGCCTGTTGCCTGTATGTTAAAATAATACATTTCATTATGCAAGTGGCCTGAATAATGTCCTTTTTATTCAGTTCTGGTACGGTACAGTAGAGGGCAGTGTTTTTCATGTTGCTGGTGAAATCTCCGTGAAACGCAGAAAAAGGAGCAGGAGGCGGGGCGGCAGCAGCACGTTTATCAGCGGAGAAAACAGCGGTGGTCGTAGGAAGTCTGCGGCATCTCTCCACACTCACCGGATCTGCTCAGTGATCTCCAAAATGAACGGTTTAGAAGACGAATCCATGGCCCCCCAAACATTCCTTTACGGTGAGAATAATACATTGTTTTACGGTACTAGGCCATCATTTTATCCTCGTGCTTGTGTTAGTTACAGCTAACGCAGATTGCAAGGGGAAGACATGCCCTGAAATTACCGTACTATCTATTGAATTTGTACAACTCCGTGCCTGCTACAAGATAAAAGATGGTTTATTTGATTGCTAGTGTTAAATTAGGTTGACATGTTGAAACCAGTATGAAGAGAATAGTATGACTACGCCGCACACGTGTTTCTCCACAATATGGCGGCTAGCTGGTGAAAAGCAACAATACAGTTTATTCTTTCAGAATAGGTCTTTTTATTTTAAATTAAACGAATAAGACGACACTACATCGCATTATGGCATTAGCGGTCTATCTGAAATGTTCAGTGTTTCTTTTAGACCAGTTCTCAGCTTATTGTGAACTTCATAATGCCACAACGTGGGTTTGTCACATGGAACTCAAGCTGCTTTATAAATGTTTCATCTGAGGCCTATCTTCAAGTCTATACACGGCCTACTACGTTTAAAAGCATATCTGTACCGTTTTATCCCTCAATCAATTTTACTTGGTAGATTTTAATGTACTTTGATGGCATGCCCCAACTGGGAATCCTTAAATGACCCCATTTTGAGGGCCCTGGGTTAATAGATTTCAAGCGTCCTCCCCATTAACTGCATCATCTGTTCGAATAATTTCATGGAGTTTGGGGGGCACATTATGACTAGAATAAGAGTTGAGCAATTTTCACAAAGAAAAAATAAAAATCATGCTTGAATAATCGGCTCTGAATGCACGTTTAAAGCTATTGGCATCCATCCATCAACACTGTAGTACAAAATAAAATAAAATAAATCTAAACCTAAACATTTAAAATGTCCGAAGTGGACATTGTTACCGAGTTTCTTTTCTTTGAAAAAAAAAATATAAATTTTACTTGTGGCTCCCTCTTGTGTGCGGACTTGTGCATTGCATGAGCTCATAGCAAGTTTAACGCATTAATATTCCTATTTAGGGTGTGCGCTGGAATCTGGAAAAGATGTTGTTTTCAACCCTGAAGATGAGGACTTTGAGCATCAGTTGGACCTCAGAATGGTAAGACAGTTTTTACCTCATGTATTTCAGTGTAAATTGCATAAATTAATGCTTCTATCTATATATTAATAACATTTTCAGGCATGTGTGGACCCCAGCACAAAAGATGAGCTGCACGTAGTTGAGGTGGAAGGACAAGATCTTGAGGGTCAGAAAATCAAAGCTGTTATGGCTTCACTCAAGCCCTCGGTACAGCCTAGTGTGAGTAAATAAAATTAAATAATTTTAACTTTGTATCTGTAAATGATGTTTAAAGGTCTTTTTATTTTATGTGCTACAGGTGTGCCTTGGTGGGTTTACCTTGTCTCCTCCGGTGGTTTTTCGCTTGAAGGCTGGTTCTGGTCCAGTTCATCTTTGTGGACAACATCTTGTTAGTGAGTATTTCTCATCCAGAAATTGGTTAAAAATGTATTTTTAGAACAATGTTTAAAATGTCTTTTCCTTGTTTTAGTGGCAGTTGATGACAGTTTAGAGGAAGAGGAGGATGATGAAGATGAAGAGGAGGAGGAGGAGGAAGAAGAGGTAAAAACGTCAAAGAAAAGACCTGCTGTTTCTCCTGCTGAGAAGTCAAAGGTATGGACCAATTTGTCTACAAATGTTTGGTACAAAGTAAATTAAATCTGTTAATTCATATTTATATATACTTTTTTTTTTTTTTACTTTTCCAGAAGAGGATGAAGAAGGAGGTGGATGATGAGGATGACGACGATGATGAGTAAGTGATAAGGCAGTGGAGAGAACCTGATAAACAGCTAATGATAAATCAGAATGGTAAACTCTATAGCATACAAGTTAATATCTAAATAAGCACAATTATCCCCAGTGGATATAGGTTTGAGAGGAGGTTATGCTAACTTGGAACATATTTAGATGTAACCTTTTTGAAAAATTGTATATTTGGAGAAAGATATTAAAATGTGTAATTGATTGGTTTCATTTAGTGAAGCTCTGAGCATTTTACAAGCTCTTACTGCTAATTATAAAAGGGGTTGGAAGATTACTCAACATGTATGGATGACGTATAAACCACTTCATGTTCATGTTTTTGATTTTTGCATAATATCCCTTTTAAGTAAAAGGCTACAGGTTTTAAACTGCTGTTAATTAAGTTGGATATTAAGTCACTTTAATTCTTGTTGAATCTTGAGTGTTCATTAAATTCAGTATGTGTTTTTAAGGGATGAAGATGATGAAGATGATGAAGATGAGGAGGACGAGGAGGACAAGACGCCAGTCAAAGCAAAGCCTGAGCCTACAAAACCAAAAGCAGCTGCTCAAAATGGCAAAAGCTCCAAACCGACAACTCCTGGCAAAAACGAAGTAAAGACTAATGATGTTGTTGTTACTATTATTAATAATATTTTGGACTGAATTATTACTGACTCTATCTGCTACTTTTCAGGTGAAGACACCAAAGGGCAAGGGTGAGAAGTCTCCCAAAACTGCAACCACCAAAACCCCTTTAACACTTGAACAAATAAAAGAAAAAATGCTTGAAGGGGTCAACAAGGTTTGTGTGCCACCACTATATTTTCTAATGTTTAATTAAATTAAAACAAATTTAAGTATTTTTAATCCCCACAGGGAGTGACATTACCCAAAGTACAGGCCAAGTTTGATAATTTTGTGAAGAACAGTTACAAAGTTACAGATGATACGGTAATAATTGTTGCTGTTCTAACTTTCTCTTCTAATACTACCTTCACTAATCCTATCTTTTTCCCTTTTCTAGATTTGTGCTGATTTGTGGAAATGGAGACAAACTGTAAAGGATCTAAAATAACAAACTGGTCTTGGTTGGTTTTAATATTGGTTTCTAGCCCCTGTTCTACCAGAAACTGAATCCAGTGCCTCTTATCAGTGTCTGCCGTCGGAACAAACAAATCCATCTTTAAATTAATTCATATTTTGTAAATGTGTAAATACCAACATTCTGCATTGTTGGCAGACTGTAATAAGGGGGTGCTTTTTGTCTGATGGGTAGTATTACTACAGATCAGTAGATAGACCACTTAAATGAGACATAAGCGAAGTCATGACCTAAAAGTAAAGGGCCAGGTATTAAGTTGTATATCTACTCTGTACATGCAAGGTTTTGAAAAGCCCATGCTTTGAAATCCACGTCAGTTTGAAATGTGCAGTTGAACCAATATACCAGATGTACGCTTGACATATTTTGACCAAGGTGCATGTGGTTTGAGCCTGTTTTGGTTGGAAATATCAAATATTATAGAATGTTCATTAGAAATGATGGTTAACAACCTTTAAGTGTGAGACCTGTGAAAGATCATTCCAAGTTATCAATAAAAGTAATATTGTATGAATGAGTTGTTGCTGCATTTCACCACAAGATGGTGTATGAGTGAAGCTTTGCTTTCACCCAAGATGGCTCCAATAAAGATTTCATTTAATTGCATCCGAACATACTATGTAATATAATTTGGGAAATAGGATATCCATCAATTCAATAATTAGAGAAGCTTGTCTTCAAGGCTAACCAGGCTTGTTTGTGAAAGGTTTGCCCCTTCATTTCAGGCTGATTACATAAATCACTTATTGTATTTGCACACCTTTGAAATCCTCAGTTTGGTCTGACTCAGATCCATCAAAGAACATGTATAATTTTTTTTTTTATTAATATACAACAAAACAAATAACATTAAAAAAAAAAAAACAGCATTTTCTGGAGGGCAGAAATGGCCTATTCACATATTACATTTTGCCGATTAGAGCCTCCATTGTGGCACAACATGATGTCCTCAAGTTAACAATCCAGCATGATCTACTTACAAAACTATTAAGGCATTGATTACAATGTCAACCGTACTGGGCATAAATAAGGCACATTTCAATGGTTTTAACGCGACAAGATGACCTCGGTTGCAGTGTCAAATCATTTAGGGACTGTCTAAATGGAGATTTATTCAGTGCACTCAAATAGTTGTCCAAAGTTGATTAACACGAATGAAAACCTTCCACACCGAGATCTATAATGTGCACCACTTTAGTGCTTTATGTGGCATTTTGAAGTATACTAGACTGTGTACTCAGGTGAGCACTGGACTACAAGACAAAGCTGATAAAATATTAAGTCAACCGGTATTAAAAATATGAATGTGTTAAAGTTACAGTAACAACACAGGGTAACCCTGAAAGTTCAAAAGCTAAGGAGGCGATAAAATTCTGCCTGCCGTACAACTGGTCATTCTCAGGTGGACTAGTTGGAATGTCAAAGTGTTCCTCGAGCCTTGCAACACAGTCCTGTCTTGTTTACACGTACTCCTTGCTGCTGCTGGGAGCTCGGGGATACCTGGGTGCAGATGCAGATTTGCCCCGTGGACAAGACGCAGCCAGCATTCCACCCCCAATGATGACAAGGAAGGCTCCAGCCCAAGCAATGAAGATAGCAGAACCAAACTCATACCTTTGTGGAAGAATAAAACAAAAACATTACAAATTACTCCAGCTTGTTAAGACCATAATCATTAGGTGGTTTGATTTTTGCACTTACTTTGTGTTGACAGGGGTGAAGGGGTTGTAGAAGGCTTGGATAATGTCATGAGCATACCACGAGCAGGCAACAATTGAGCATAATGCTGTTGGAAGAATTTGACATTTAATTGCATTGCATAACCTGTAAAGTACAGCAAGTATTTAAACAGAATCTTACATCCGATCACCAGGACAATTCCACCAGTCATTGCAATCTTGGATTTCTTTGTCTTGTCATCTCCTCCACAGGTGGTGCATTTCATTCCCATACAGGCTACACCCAAACCAGCGACCGTTACAATAATGCTCACAATCATGAGGGCGCGGGTTGCCTGGAGGGCACCTGGAAGAACAGGTAAGAGTCAATCCATAATAGTGACACCATGTAATAGTTTAAACACGGCAGGTGTGGCAAATGCCTGACTTTTTTATTTTCAACATTAAGTGTACCAAAGTGGTCACTCAGGAGGGACCACTTGGAATCTAACAGAGTGCCTTGTGTCTCCTGAGGACCGTAGCCCCACCCTGGGACAACGCTCCACAGAAACTAGCACCAACCAGAAGCAATGAGGAACTGTGGGAGGTGGGGGTGGGGTTGGGCCTTGTGTGCACAACAGTCAGAACAGGTCTGACCAGGTTTCAGGTTTCTTTAGAAGACACTCCCAATTTCCCCTACTAGCAACCACTTTTCAGCAGGTGGATCTTTCATAAACTGAAAATTTATCCATTAAACCTTTAATTAAAGAAAAGAAAGAAAAAAAATGCTCAGATTATTCAAATTCCTCGAGTTTTCCAGACTATTTATTCAATTCTTTGGTATCAGACCTGCCTTATCAGAGTTTATCAAACAATGTTTGAAAATGCGATAAGACACTGTGGAGTGGATATTTTATCAAGTGTTATTATGGAGTTACAAAAGGCCCAAATAGAAAAAAAGTTGTACAGGAAATGCATTTGAACATAATATTTTGAATTTTTGCTTCAATCAAATTCTTATAATATAATAGAAAGTTGGAATACAACAAACATGGAAGAATTTACAGGCCTACATCAAAGTTGACATTCAAGTATTTTATGACCTGAAGGAAACTAGGTGAGTCTCAGCCATGTCTAAAGTTGGCCCATACAGCCACTGTTTTCAGAGAAACACACAGGTGCACCTTATTCATGTAGCATCAAAGTTTGGTTAATGATTCAAGGAAAAAGTGTCTTGGCCCTTCAACTTATTCAATGAAATTTTTCTAAAGCCAAGCAAGAAAAATACATTGAAAGCAAGAGGCTAAGGTTTAAATTTTATAAATAAATAAGAGTTTGATGTTGTTTCCTGTGTTGACCCAACACAGGTGTTGTTTAACCTGGAAGTCTCAGTGGTGTTGTATTCAAATGTTACAAGTGGGGGTTTCCGCAAGAAGGTGGAGTAATAAATGAACTAAATACCCTACATGCCAGTTTAACAATAATGCACCACCCTCATCATTTTGGTTCAAGCAGAATATATAAAAGAAAATGCTCAGCTCCATAAAACAGGTGAAGGCCCTAAAACCTTGAGCAAAAAACCTGAAGAGAGGGAAGCGTTAATCAGTGACAAAACTGGTTGAACGACAAAATATAAAGGCCTGTGTAATCCAGCAATAAACAGACTTGTAAAATGCACCAGTTTCTATAACCTTCCAACTGGGCTTGGGAGATCCGCGTGACAGCCCACAATGTAAAGTTATATTTTTACTGAAACAAAATAGTCCGTATTTTTGTTAGGCAAATGTGCAAATGGATGGTCTAGTTTAACCTTTTAAAATCAACTTTGAATGGAACAAAAATCTAAAAACACAAATAATTCGCAGAGATGGTCTACATTATAAAGTGTCAGGACAAAAGCAAATTTAAACGTGACTTACTGTTGAGCTGTAGGATGGAGTCGTACACTTTGCACTGGATTTGGCCTGTGCTCTGAAACGCGCACGACATCCACAGTCCTTCATACATGGCCACCGCAGTAATGATGTTGTCTCCAACATAAGCAGACATCTTCCACTGGGGAAGGATTGTGCCAATGATGAGTCCAATTAGGCCCAAAAGAGCCAGGGAAAAGCCTAAAATCTGAAGACCCGAGTTTGCCATTGCACCTGTTCCGATCGATCTGAGCTAATCTCAAAAGCAACAAAAAACAGAGTCCACCTGTAGAAAAGGTAAGTTTTCTCCACAAAATAAATACGGAAAAGTCTCTTAAAATAAAGTCCTCTGCTATTTATCCGGCGAGTCTTTTGTAGGTTATATACCGACGAACACAAAGGTGAATCCGCGCACCTGTTCCTGAGCCGCGCCTTGAATGAAGAGGAAGCAGCGGGAACGAGCTTTTAGGCGGTTTCAGCACGTTTACGCAGCGAGGGGGCGGGGACGCGCACGTAGTTTCGACTCAGCGTTGTCTCAGGAGCGGACACCTGCAGTTTCATGATGTAAGTGTTTTAGGAGAAAGGCCTTAAGATTTCCCGTTTCCACACATTTCTAGGTTAAGTTGTGCAACTTAACAGACTTTGAAAGATTTTAAGAAAAAATACGATTAGATGAGCCCGAACAATCGACCAAATCTTGAATTGAATTGAAATTGAGTGACATGCTGACGATCACAAGCATGCTACATGAAGAGCATCACTGATAGGCATAAGAGCTCAACCCTCACTCCGTTTGTGGACGTAAATTTAGCATCCATTTTTCCCATAGAAATTTCGAAAATTTCAAATAAGGCTAAGCAGTTGCATCACTACGGTCACTGTTGAGAATACAGTTATCAATCTAACGATGCCAAGAATAATCAATCAATAATAATAATCATCGAATCATAATTAAATAAATAAATAATAATTGTGAGAATTTCCGAAACAATAGGTTTAAGTCATTTAAAGTACTCTGATGAAGTACACTACTTTAATGGTCTGTTTATGTCATAGTCATTACCTTTACTTCATTCATCAAATTTGATTTCATAAAGCTGTCACAAACTGCAGTGGTGATCTATTACAATTAGACAATGATCAAATCTCACAGTTTATTTGATCGTCATTCATGAAGAATCATAAACTCAAGAAGTTTCCTCTCACAATAAATTGCAACTAATTTGATATCTTGGCATATTTTTAATAAGGTAGTTTATTTTGGTACGTTCCCCTGTATTATTGACTTTACTTTATGGCTTCTCCGTGACAGTGTTGCCTTTTGTTCCTGAAACGGGCCAATTCACATCTTAAAACAAGGCATGTCATAATTTGTAACTCGAAAGCTACAAAGTTTTATTATTATCTACATAGATTTCTGTATTTAACTGAAATGTAGTGGCATGTTTCCATATTTTCAACCGTTACATTTGAAGTCTAATGCCAAAAACAACCTGAGTTCCTTTTTTGAAACCGTTTTTTTGAAAACGGAAGAAGCATTGCTGTCTGACTAAAGTGATGTGACGTCAGAACGGAAGAAGATGTTTGTCCAGGCCATCTTTGTCCTGTCCATGTTTGTCAATACGCCCACTTTTCCCTGTTTATGTTGATGAGTAATATAGTACAGTGCATTTTGGAAACTTCTCAGCCTTTCTAATACCTGACAAACTGGTTTAGGGACTGTATTTATCCCTAAGCAGTTTAAAACATAACACAATATTCAACAAGGGTAACTGATGAGACACAAGCTTCAACACGTTCCTTTCCCATGGCCTATACATAATATTAACAGCTGGTGTCATCTAAAAATACTAGTAGCTGTAAGGTTTCGGTGATATTGCGCAACAGAAATTTGTTTATAGTCATGTTAAGGTGAGTCATAACTAGAATCCATCTAGTAAATGTTTTCAACCTGTCACAAGGTCAGGTGAGTCATCCCGAGTTTGAGAGTGGATCACAAAGAAAAAAAAAAGGTATCATTCTGGGATATCAGATTAGATAAAGTCAAGGTATGTCCAAAAATGACAAAAATATACAGTATTCATGTATTTATGCTTATATAATATTTAAATATTTGATTACAAACCCTGAACACATTCTTAAAATTATTTGGATCTTGAAAGTATGCAGTTTCAAATAGCTTGCTTTCTTTGTCCTTACCTGGATGAGTCATATCTTTGATAGAAACTAACCATTTTGTGCAACATCACCATCTAGTGCTCAGGGTGAGTATCATATTAAGTAATGCTATTGACATCAGCTGGCTTCTTCAAGGTACTTTACACATTTGACTAAATACCTCTTGGATTGTTGTATTTTGAATCTGACTGTCAAACACCAAAAGTATCACAATTTCAAGATCTCATAGTTGTATAATTAGTGAGTGCCTCTAGAGTGATGGCGACTATGGAAAGCGTATTATAGTAAATATATTTAGTCCCCAAAGCAATAGAAGCTATATTTGCTGTAAGTACTTAATCTGTATTTACTGAATTAAGAAAACTAAACATTCATGGTGTCAAAGTGCAGCCTTGTGATTGTAATCATTGTTAAATGCACACAGCATGTGATTAGAGATGTCCCAGTAAAGCAGAGAGAATCAGAAAAGTAAACAAGTGCGACCCTGACCGAGGTCACCTCATCAGAAGCAGAAGCAGTACGCACTAATCTGCCAGATCAATTTAGGTTGTTCCAGGGGAGCGCGCCATAGCCTAATTAGCATAATCTCTGGGACATGATCTAACATCCATTTGCTATGGTTATCACAGTAAGAATGTGTCGTCTAATTGACTGGTGGAGAAGTAATTGCTGCTTTTCATCCAGGGGAGACATTTTGGTTAAATAATCCAAGTTCATAAACATACAAAAACTGATCCCTTTTAAATTCCAACCAGTAAAGTATAAATCTTAAAGAACACTCAACTAATACACTATAGTTTTTTTTTTATACATATATCCTCTGACATATCATTTCAGAGCCATTTATACACCCTGCATTACTGTGGGTTCCCTCTTCTCATGGCTGGATGGACTTCTTCTCTGATGGAACCTTGTCACGCTTCATGGCCCAACATTATGTAGCAACTGCAGAGCTGACGAGTTGGGAGAGGTTGGAATACAGACCTTTACAGAGCTATTGGGTAAGCAGCCCATTATCAAACATTAATTAGTATGGAAACTATTAATTATCACATTAAATGATTGTTTAATAATTTATAAGGGCTTTCCAAGAATTTCAAGTTATACAGCTTTTCCCCTAAAAATTCTGAGAATCCCCATTTACTGGTATTGCATGGAATTTAAAAATACACAGGGCATGAAAATATGAAAATGCCATACAATATAAGTATCTAATCACTGTCTGGTACGAAAATGCATTCAGTATCCATCAGATTCAGGGTCAAAATAAACCATATGGCCCAGTGGCAATCTGAACAGACCCCTAACCTTGTTCCTCATACTATTGGACGTTGCTCTACTTTATATGTACTCAGACACTTTGCACTTTTTTATGTAGATATTTTTACCTGATACATTAAATTTCATCTACATAAATGAATAACTCAGACGCTCTGATTACAATCATACAAATATATGTAATTTATTGAATAATATTTTAATATAAGACATCTCCTTTAAATTCATTTGTAAGTTATTGTAGAAATTTACACAGGTCCAATGGCAAACATGAAGGAAAGGTGATATTTTTTTTTTTAGGGATTGTGAGTTTACATACAGAAAGAGTCACCCAAATGAGTGGGACAACAGTGACACGACATATGCATGCTTTGCATTTAAAGTTCTCACATATAATTAGTATTGCAGAACAGCAAGTGCCTCTGAAGCCTGCAGTCCATGATTGTTATATGTTAGTCCAAAAATGTTCCCTTTCTTGAAGCGCAGGCTCATTGCATAAAACTGGTCATCATTCCTGCATGGCTCTTTAGTTGTTCCCTGTGGCTCTTGATATTTGAGTCCAACATTTGTCTGAGATCCTGGTGCGTCTGAAGAGGCGTCTGAGGGTTCCGGCATTTGTTTTGTGGCTTATAAAGTTTATGGCTTTTTGGTTAATCTTATTTTTGTTAGGATAAGGGTTTGTTATTTAATGGAAGACCGTAGAATTTTACACAAGAAGAAAGTGGCTACGGACACTTTCTGGAAGACTTGCTTGACCGTAGCTCACCAAGGTCACCAAGGTCATTGCTTTACGTGATGGGGCTGTTACCCTGCTGTTGAACAGTTGAATGGAGGTTATCATAAGGAGTATTAACAGTACATGTTACAGTACAGATAAGAGACTAGGATTCATAGAAACAACAAAACTGAAAGTTCATTAAAAGCTAATGAAGCTGCAAAATACTAGAAATTGGACACCGCATTCTTGGAAAACATAAGTAATTAAAAAGCAAATGTTAAGGGCCCTGATCAAACTCAGTGCAATCTTATTACAAATGATAGTTTAAGGGATCTGTAGAGTAGCATTATAATAAATTTACAAACATAACTCCCAATTACAAAAAATCATGGGACAAATCGTAAAAGACAGTACATTGTGTTGTATCCCTGCCAGTTTGGTCAAATAATGTAATAAAATGTTTACTAGTAATCAGTCATCAGCCACTCATGTTATTCACTTTTCTCCTCTGCATGTCACACAAATGTTTAAAAAAAACCTTTGCTTAGTAATTATTTCTGTACACTGATGTCGTCCAAAAAGATAATTTCTGTTCACTTGTAGTAGAGTGCAATAAAAGCTCCCAAAACATTGTTGTTTTAAGTTACATGTAACTTTTCTGGAGGAAGGTATGCCACCTTCATTCCATTTCCACAGAGATGTTTTTGCTTTTCCTTGGTAGAATATTCCACAGTATGGCATTAAATTTATCTACCTCCATGGAAATGAGCAGGAAACCAGCAGCGACATGGCCAAGTCACATCTGTGGAGAGGCAACACAGCTTACAGAAAGATGCATTTTTGCAGCAATAATAACACCTTTACTTCAATAAATACAAGATAAGGTTATTGCTATACTGTGGAATATTTCAGGTAAAGCAATACCATCTCTATGGAAACAAGCGATATTGGACCTTCCACCACAAATGTTACATAGTGCACCTTTAAAGTTTGAGATGATATGGCTCCAGATTTAATATTGCCTTTACACCCACTACTTTGATAAAGTCGAGGGCTTCCCTGGGTTTTTATTTATGGCAATGGGAACCACTTAAGGTAGTTTTAGTCTGCCTCTGTAGTACTCTTGACTCCTCAGAATTGCTATGCTGCTAATGTTAAAGTGGTCCTTTGGAGATGGAAAAACTCTTCTGTTGTTGTAGAGTTTCTGCTTACATGATCCCTCTGAGTTCATTACGTGCCAGGAGAGTTGGCTGTCTGCTGTGGCCCCTGGGGAAATTTTGAGTGTTATCAAACAATGCCTGTACCCACTCTCTCTCCTTATTGAATCAATCTATCACTGTTTTGTCTTATGTCCTTCCATTCAGCCTTGTCTTATACAAAGATGGGCACACCTGTATGTCTGGCTTCCTTTGTGTTCATTATCTGTCAATTTAGTCCTGCAACAATAACCTTTATTGCTACTAAATGACAATGGCATAATATTTTCTTCCCTCAAATGTATAAATATTTTGACCACACATGCTCACCGTAACAGATTAAAATGCACATGCAGAAGATTTACATTTACATTGGCAATGAGTTGTCTGGGCATCAAAGAAAATAATAAAAATATAGTAAAGCTTTATTTTTTTTATATATATATATATATATATATATATATATATATATATATATATATATATATATATATATATATATACTTCATATCACATCTGTTACTTCCTCAATGGCTTTTAAAGCATACCAGTAGTCAGGTAACAGTCACTTATGACATACACGTGTCTTAAACCAACTCAATTTCACATCACAATCACTGTAAATTCAACTTTTCTGATTCTTTCTAATGTAACCACATTCAAAAAACATTTTAGCTAGACCTCACTATACACCCTTGTCTACTTGCTGCATTACAATCTCAAAACACTTACAATAACCATCTTTAGTAATACAATACATAGGCCCATCAGAAATATACCAACCATCGTGTACATAGAGATCAAAAGTCACAGCCCTTTTTGCCATAAACTGTAATGGTGTTTTGCACCCGCAGCTTGAGAACAACATCTCCATATTTGGATGAGGAGTGAATGGTTCTCCCGGTGGAAAAGCTCACAAAATTAGAAACTAATTTCCTCCTTAGACCCCTTTTTTATAAATAGCACACAGTGCTTTACATGCCACTTTGTCTCACATTCATTCTCATACCCACAAGCTACACGAGACCCTGCCAAGAATCTTGCTTACTTTACCAGGGAAATTCCTTATCAACATTCCTCAAGAATACACCTGCTAATCCCTCATTGTTGTGAACCACCTGCATTAGCTGACTTCTTTTCAGTTCACAGTTTCAAACTTTAAATAATACACATTCAAAAGACCATTTTTCACATGCTGTAACCTTCTTTTACATCCTCTTGCTGTCACATCTGTAGCCACATATATATCATATCAGCCCTGAAATGAACTTTTAGCTGTCTGGTATTTCCACATATTACTTCAAAACTGACAATACAGTTGGACATGACGTCTCTCCCAAGTCCTTATTCTTGCACAGATGAAAGCTATGAAAAAGACAGAAAAGGTTAACCTCTTTATCTCCATCTCCGTCCCCTCACTCACACACCTACAATCCCGCTGGGCATACATCCCGGACACAGGGAGGCTGAAATGAAATCACAGAAACACATTTCCTCAAACAGCTGTGATTTTGTGAGGCTGATACTTCCAAGGTGATTTGATAAAGAAAGCGAAGGGATAAGCTGCCTGACACCCTCCGAATAACAAGTACTCTAGTTCTGAGGTTCTTCCTGGCTTTGATGTGCACTTCAAACCTGCTTTGTGCTGACAGCAGATGCAGAAAGTGAAGTACTTGCTAAGAAGGCTACAACCACTTCGCTTGCAGGTGACAGAGTTCAGACACTTTCCCAGCCGTCAATATGACCCAGTTGTTAATGTGTTACCTCGGATGAGCTGTTGAAATGAGTTACCATTTCAGAGTGAGAGCCTGGAAATACAGTTTTGGTTTTACTATTTTAACCATGAACCTTATTAATATCCTTTTCTTTTGCCTTTTTGCTTGGCCATTTTATTCAACTCTCTTATTTTATTGAGAACATCAAAATATTCATAAATCTTTTTTTTTTTTTCTTTAATTGTTCTTTGGATTGTTGATAAAACATGAACTCACAGCTAAATCGCAGGCATGTAGAAAATCAACAATTTAATTTATTTTCACACATTAAAAGTACACCACGTAACTTTTCTGGTGGAACAGGTGGCGTACCTGTCCGCCTCCAGGCAGATGTTATTACTTTTCCTGGAACATACAGTATATCATTAAACTTATCTATCGCTAGACAAGTAGGTGTCACCACCAGGATGAGTTTATCAAGGTTTTTCTGAGTAATAAAAACACCTGTAAAATATACCTGTAAGTACACAATACACTGTTGACCATTCTAGTAAAATCAGTAACATCTCCATGGAGACAAGCAGGTGATGAAACCATCAGAAAAGTTACATAATGCACCATTAACTATTTTGTGCAGTAGATTTTGACCTTAGAGCCCAGCCCTACTTTCAGCAGTAGTAAGTAGTAACTTATTTTGAACCTTTTTGTCCTTGCTGGATCGATCTTAAGTGATGTCCACATTGCTTTTAGTTGACCTTGGTGATTAGCTTAGCTTGTCAGAAGATGGATGAAAATCTGTAAGAACCATGACGCTGTGATTGTCAGGTGGGACCGAGAACTTAAAGGAGACTGCATATCATAACGGGGCACAGGAGCGGAGGTTTGTCCCTGGGCTAGCCTTGGTTTCTCTCAGGTGAGGGGGTTGGTGTACTTCTCTTCTTGCCTCCTGATAGGCTCCTCTTGACCCCTCTGGATTTTGTAGTGCACCCTGGAATTCAGTGGCCCATGTGAAGTATTCCCTTAGCCACCAGCAAAGCATAATAGGTGGCTGTGTTCTCGGCATCACTGCTTCTCTTGTCCCACCCGCAGTCTCCTATGCTATGAGGCGTCTGCTTTGGGAGCCTCTTTCCGCCCATTCTTGAGGGACGGAGAATCGGACGTCTTGACCGTTTTCCTCGGAGGACTTACTGGTTCACTGGCCAGCTCATGTAGTGACGGCTCTTTATACATGGCAACTGTAGAATAAAGGGAACACAATTATTTTTAAATAGTTGTTGGGGAACTTGCCAATTTTGTTAATCAGATTTTATAGGGTTTTGAAAACATTTGATAAATACAACATAACTATTTCTGTAAGTAAACATTAGGGCTGCACAATATATCACCAAAATGTTTGTTTTAATTTAACTCAAGGTGTTATTTCAAAAACTACATTAAAATATTGTTTCTAAGTATCACAAAATTTACTAAGGGCAATTGTAACGTAATTCACAATTGCCTTTTACTTGATTTAAAAGTTGCTTATGTTAACACTTTGCCTTTTAGTTAGTTAAATTATCCAATCAGTAAGCAGAATGTGCTTTCTGGTGAGTTGCCAGATCCAAATGCTTTGCAGTAAACCCAGAAATGCTTTCTATAATATGATGCATTGTGTCCTCATTTCATGGCAACCCTGGCTCAGTTGTAATTGCCATTTTTAATAAGTAGGCGAGTTTATTACATCTAATGCTTTTTAAGCCAACAGTTCCTGTGATGAGAATGTAGTACATATGTATATTTTATCCTTGTTTTCTAAATATTTGAACAGGCTTTTTAGATATCACTTAGTATAATAAGTTTTGTGTACCTTCTATAACTTTAGGCAGGAAGTGAGCTGCTCCCTTGTTCTTCTTGACCCTGTTCCCCTTCATGATCTGGCCATCCCGATTGATACCGATATACCAGGACCGCCCTGACTGGGTCTGCCGGTACAGCATGGAGGAGTATGTCACGTAGTAGTTCTCAAACACACTCTCCTTGAACTTGCACTCTGGGGTAAAGTGCTCCTAAAAGAAAACATTAGCATAAAAAATATAAGTAAACAAATATAAAGATTATTTTAGACCTCCATGAGAAATGCATAAGTCTTTGAGCATAGATTTTTTTTATACATGTATGAGCACACAAGAAAAAGCATAAACATCAGCATTGCAACATATTAATTAGGTGACTTTGCCCTGAGGGAAAGGAAGGCTAGAATTATATCTGGACTGGAGATTCTTTGAAAGCGTGAAAGCTCTCCTTCCTTTGGGAATGTTAAGAAAAGAATGCACACGTGAAGAAATTACAAGAGCATATCTTCTAAACAGAACACATCCCTGAAGGAAAGATGAAAGGATCCAGCATTGAAACCCACCTTAGTGCTATAACTAATAAAATATTTAGAGTATAGTCCTCCACTGCCCACTGAGTGTACAGACTGTTTGACACACTCCAATAGGACAGAAGAAAAAAAAAAGATTTGGATATTATTGGAGGATTATGGGGCAGGATGAGAGGTCAGTGGGGGTTAAGAATGTAATAACACAACAAATGTCTGACTGTTCATTCTTTTAAATTAGTATGTGTCCGTGATGCATAATACTTCAACTTGTGTATAATCATATATAGTGCTAATGCAGATGAGTATCAAAACACTGTTTGTAGTTAGACATAGATATCATCGTCTCATCTCTTTAAAGAATGCATTTTTTTTTCAGTATTATACTATATCATAAATAGATTGTGATTTAACACTGTGTTCATTGCTAAAGCAGCTTAATAATAGAAGCAGGTTCATTGATTTCCTGTTCAAATCTGTAGACCTGCGAGGCTCCACCTCTTCATAGTGGAACTTCACCATAGAAAACAATGGATTTTCACTTGCTTGTTATTATTGTTCAAAATTATGGCCCTACATGTATGACCTAGTGTCTGATTTTTTATTTTTTTTTGTAATTGCAAGTATGGTGTCTGAGCACTTGCGCCTCAAATTCAGAACAATGAATCAGTCAAAATAGAACTCTGAGTAAGCTAATGATGAAGGAATGCTGTTATAACATGGTTAAAAGCTCATAAAAGTCGATTTTACATAATATATCCCCTTTAACATGCTGCTCTCATGACATGTCAATTGTCTGTGACTGAGTGCATCTGAATATACATTACCAAATCAAATTAGACCCTCTGGATCAAATCCAGCAGTTGAGCTGCTTGTTGTAAATGATTGTGTCATAGCAGCATTTGGCCCAGCAGTCTGTCCTCAACATAAGGACTACTGAACCCTGCATAATGCTCCTCACTGATGCTAACCAGTAGCGACAGATATACATCTCTGTGAGCCTGTCAGTCTGGACAGGGTCCTTCCTCTGTCTCAGAGCAAAGACGATCTTTTGGATTGATTAAGTGAGAGCAGCCGGGCAGAAAAGGCTGACGAGGAATTTCTGTGACACCACGAACGATGAAGGATTGTTCTAGAATCACAAGTTAGCTGACTTTAATACAAAACACACAAAGACAGGGAGACTGAGAAGACACTTTTCCATTTAATCACAGATCATCAACTTTCTCCTTCACATGGAGGCACCATTCTTTAGACTCAGATTATAATACAATGCTTAAACCTCTTTTTGAGTCATTGACCTGCCATCGTGCTGGGCAGTTTACACCTCTCTTTGCACTGCAAAAACAAGGGCTTACCTTTAACAAACTCTCCCACAACATCACATCACTGAGCTATTTTAAGATCCTCTGACAGGTTTGATATCTTCTGCTGTGCTAACACAAAGAGGATGGGATCGATAGATGATCCGCTTCATTCATTATTAATCAGGCCAGATAGAAAGGGGTTGGGAAGTGCAGGGGACAGAAGGAGAGGAAAGGTAGCAGAAGATCACTAGGAGGGAGAGGGCAGAGGAGGAGGGATTGTGGCTAATAGAGTAGATCCAGCTTCAGTGCTTTACCCTCTGGGACTAAAGCCGGAGCACTGCACTTTAATCTGTGCACCCCACGCAGCGACACTCACCTCCGTCATGAAAGTGAAGCCACGACTTGACCGCGATACCCTTGAACTCCACCTCTGACTGTCTGCACTGATCACCTCCAGTGTCACTGTGAAGCACCTTTCATATGCTGACTCCTTATTATTAGCATGTCAGAATGTGACCATCTTCAGAGAGATCACTAAGAAGTAACCTTGTGTGAATTATTTCTTCTCATTGAAAAATCTGAATGATACACTGGTAATTTGATGCACCTTTATTTTCTTCCACAGTATTCAACTTGAAGCATTAACTTTAGAAAGGCCATCTCTGTAAAACAGGATGAAAGAACATATTTGTTTACTTAATATGTATGTTTCCTCTTTATATATTTTTTTCTTTTTATTACAATCTGATTTCTTGAGGGCAAATATTTATGTGTCAGTATCCTCTGTTGCTGTAAACAACTGTGCACTGGAAATTAACCTCTACTCCTCAACACATCCTTGAAGTGACCTCCAGACCTGACCACAAACGACCACCAAGGACTCTGAGTCCTTCTTTACCATCTAGATTTACAGCTGCTGACGGTCACCATAAAAGTGTAGTGTATATTTTAGAATATTTCCACCTCAGTGAAGAGTGGTAGTGACGAAATAAAAAACATGAATTATTGTGATACGTCTCAAGACGGAAATTAATTCAAATGAAAGACATGGAAAGGTAATACATAGCATCCGTGCTGAGAATCCCGAACCTGGGAAAAACCTTTTTATGATGCAGAGCAGCAACCCAACCTTCACCTCCTGCCCACACACACTACCTCCTTCTTCATCCCTCGTGTCTGATTACATCTATTCTACCTGCTTTAGGGCGCTTAACTCTCCATCCCATCATGCACTGGGAATGCTCCTAACTCGTACCCACCACATTAGAGCACTGAAGTAGTAAAAGAAGGGCAAAACATTTGGCTTGCAAACTGGAACAGTGAAATGTTTATATTATTATCATAGCAAAAGCATGACAAATTTGTAATAATTTGTTTTCTTTATTGTTGTAAGAGTAACTAATGCAGGCAGAATATAGCCTTAGAATTCAAAACACATTATTGGTAATGATAATCTGCAATGCCTGTTTTAAACAGAAGGGGTCAGAGTGCCATACAAGCTTTTTCCACTGTATTGTCATCTGTCCTCTGAGGTTAATCTTTGTAGCTGCACCATCTCTAAGCTTCCCCAGACCTGTATTTCCACATAACATGGAGTTCATTCATAACTTTACCATACACCACATGGGACGTAATCTGTGTGTAAAAAAAGTCACTAGTTGGGCATGTTGCCACTGATCAAGTCAAGTCAAACGTGGATGTTGTAGCTGTGTTACATAAGTCAAAAGGGCATGGGCGCTTATTAAGATAGGCTTAGGGAGGATGAGACTAGCTGTTAATACTGTCTAGCACCACACATGTATGGTCTGTCTAATGCTTTATGATAGGCCAGGGACAGTGGCACAACAACGGCAGGGCAGACAATAATGTGAGGGGACTAGAGGCTGCATGTGATGACTGGCAGCTGGGAAAACCCTGTCAAACTGCAATAGGCAGCAATAACATTGGTGCTGGCATTCATACAGACAAGATACAAGTACAGGTGGTCTTTATATGCAAATTTGGCGTATGATTTTGTACTTGAGTGTTTTGAAAAAAAAAGTTACTTGGTTCAATGTTTATGCGTAAACAAACAATAACGATTCTAGCAATGTCCTGCCAAAATATGATGTGTAACTGTGCGTCATTCTCCCAAGGTTTACAACCACATGAACATTGCCAAGAACTAACTCTAATGAATTCTTTGGATAAATTTGGAAAATGAGTTAATCAGAAAGAATAACCATTCCTAAGTGCTCGGCCAAATGTTTGTCTTTATCATTGCCTTTTCTCCTCTGTAAGCCTTTCCTCGCACTCAGGTCAATTAGTCTTTCTGTTATTTTTGTCTCCATTTTCTCTTGTCTGTTGAGAGCGATGCAATCTGGCTGCCAGTGCTGTCCTGCATGTCAATGCAATTCTTTGCTGAAACCGCACCAGGGCATTGATTTTCTGAAGTACATCTTGAATGTTTTTTGTATCATTTAAACTACATTTTCCAAAACAAATTATAATATTCAAGTTTCCATTGTGTTTAGGTTCATAAACCATGTTTTTCATGTATTAAATCATTTTTACTGTGAAAGTGTTGAAGTGTGTCTGGAAGTCCAGTGCAGTAGTCGATGATTTGCATGGCTTACATTGGTTTACCTGTTAACACCATGTTGTTGTGGTTCAGCAGCAGCCTCGCTCATGCTGCTCTCTCTCGCTTGTTCTAATGTCTGGGGGAGTTTTCCGGAGCACATAGATTATAAAATGGGGCAGGAAAGAGCCAAGCTCTATTTTTGTATCAGGATCAGCCATTGTCACCTACAGCTAGTGAGGCTGAGATTTATGCCCAGACAAGGCCCTTTTCGTGATGCATCCTGGCACAACAGCCTGACCACTGAGCGTGTTGGGCGAGGACAAGGATATGTACAGCCAGTCTGTCAGGACATTGGAGGGAAACAGCCAAATAATAAGCCTCTGTAAGCAGCAGCAAACAGCGTCTTTATGCAGAGAGCAGAGGAAAGAGCTGGAGGCATGCTGCTAGTCACTCTGTCAATCACCACAACTTCTCTGGAGTGACAGTGATGGCGGCGTTTATGATAAATGAAAACATTTCTTGGCATTGTCACGCACTGCCGCCACATGCTTTTACATCTGAAGGCAAATCTGCACGTCCACACAGTGCCCAGTGGAATGCATAAAGGGCCATAGCATGCCACCTGCACGTCCTCTCGCATCAGCAAATTAGCTCATTACAAACGCCACTGAGAATACTATGGGGTTATAAAACCAGGCATGCTACATAACACACATAGTAGATGGCAGTTCTGGTGTTTCATACATGTACCATTCTTTATATGAAAGTCCCTGAAAGAGGTCAGTGTAGACTTTCTATACAGCTATTGACTGCTGCTGAGGAAATCCCTTCTGCTCTGCTATCGCAAGCTCCGCACCACAGTAATGCATGCTAATCAGGGACTCACAAGATAATATGAGGTGGCATAGTTGCTATAATTCAAGAGTTAACTTTCACATGCAGAAATGATGCTCTCCCTTCTATGCCTCATCTGCATAATACCACTCCGGCATTCAAAGCTTCTCAACATAATAGGACTTCAATCACATCTGCTCGGAGCCAACAAACCACATGCGAAATGGGAGAAAGAGGATTATATTATCACAAATATATTGACTGTCCAATCAAAACATTTGAGTCCATTACTGCATCTTTGAACTATTTTGGTACAATTCATATAAATCTAAATTATGAGAGCAAACGTAACACATGCTAACATCCTTTAATGCACTTAACAAAAGTTGGGGTTGCATTAGAAAGTGCATCTAACATAAAACCTTGCAAATTACTATGCAAATCTGTGTATACTCCACAGCAGATGTTATGCAGTGGTGCCCCCAGGAGGAATAAGCCAAAAGAAAGAAGAAAAAAATATATTTAGTTATTCAGATACAAATAATGTGCATCAGTGGCTAAGACTGTCAAAAAATCAATACTCATTCTAATAAATACTAAAACTAGCATTGAGATACTCATTTGACAAGTATCAATACTGAAAATCACAAAAATGGGACAAAATGGGACCATTCCTCTGAATGTACAATTTTAATCAGCCTTGATTAGAAATGATTAGTGAATTGATTAGTATTATTAAAGAAACTACTATTATATTGTGTAGGAAATTACATGCTTGGTAATATTGAACCTTGATCTGTTTTGAGATAGTATGATATAATTTTTTAAAAATTGTCATATTGTGTTTTACAAATCGTCTCTTGAAGGTAGCGCTATGCTCAAACAAACTTTTTCCACCCACACCTCCTATTGGTCAGCCTCAGCAATGAGAGGTGGATGAAATGTGAACTGCCAGAAGAAAGTTACCTCTTCAAGACAATATAAAAATACTAACTTTTTCATAAATTGTGATCAAATGTAAATCGTAATCTGTCTCCATGAACATTTTGTGACAATGCTCTTAAAATTTAACAATATTAAATACAGAGAAATCACAAGTACATATTTTATTTTGAAAATAGTTTTACCATATTCTACTACAGTCCTGTCTGCTTTTATGTAATTCTTCTAGGTCTATTGTATTTCTGTTGCACCAGGACTGTGAAAGCTTGTGCCTCTGTCCATGGTGCTGAAACCCTCCAACTATCCCAGGCTTTGTCCGACGAGCCAGTTACACAATGCCTCCATGAATCCCCCATGAATAATAGTAACAAAGAGTCTTATCCGCAGTGGACAGGCTGACTGAAAACACACAGGTGTAATTAATAACAGTAACAATAGCCGCTGCACCCTGAGCTCCGTGCGTGTCACAACTTGGAGTGTCCACTCAATTCAACAATAAAGTGAGCTGGACCAACGTTAATGTTTGTGCTACCAGTCTAAAACCAAGTGTCGACTATAAAAAGGCTCTTAAATACAAAGTGGCTCTTTATAAACTAGTGACTCCATAAATGCATCAATATCTGGCACCAGTGCCCTTAAGGGCCTTACAGTATGTGCCAGGTCACATTGCAATACCATCATCATTTACTATATTTAAAGGGCTATAATGTTTTTTCCTTCATCAAAAACATACCAGGAGTTGTGTTTTGTTTCATTCACACGTTTAACACACACACCCATCATATTTAGGCTGAGTTCTTGTCTCAAAGAGAAAACACTCTGTTCTACCTTGTGTTAATACAAGAAGTGCTCCACTGTGTTTTTAAATTCCATATACCTTCACTAGAATTATTTGGATAATTTCAGACCTGGAATTTCAAATCTCTACCGAACTAAAATTAAAAGGAGCTGAAAAAAACTGCTGAAAACTACCGGTTCATGACATCACAAGGAGGAACAGAGCATTTTGAGCTTTGGAGATGCAAACATTCTAATAATTCAGGATTGCACAAGCATGTGATAAAACAAAACACAACCCCAGGTAGCAGCATTATAATATGGCATAAAGCTCACAGTTTTGCATAATAAAGGATCTTAAAAAGTATTACTCTGCACAAGTGCTCAGTATAATGTGTTCACCATTCATTTTTTTCCCTCACATACAGCCCCTCTGTTTAATCCTGAAGATGTTGCGTTCATGTTGCTTAATCGAATTGCAACATATGCTGATTGTAGCACTAATTGTCTGAGGCTCCCCTTGATACTCCATTACCCATAGAAGAAATGTCATTTTTATGCAAAGAAAGGCATGATTCAGATATGTTGTATTGTACTTAACTACAATCTAATAGAAATATGTCCCCATAAATATGCCTAATTGCTTCTTATTTGCCTGCATCTAAACAATCCTTAACCCGGACATACTAAAGTAGCTTGATGGATTGCGGTGAATACATCATACACTGTTTCTTTTCTCTCTATATTTCAGCACAGTGGACAGACAGGTACACTGGCGTCATACAATTTAGTTGCGTTCACAATATGCATTTGTCACACGATGTGCCAATAACGTCTGTAACTGATCTCTGCAGAGTCAGTGTATGACCCAGGAAAACAAGAGCAAAGACCAAAGCTACCGGGCATCCACAAAATAAATACAGTTACGACACAGACAGCAATTAAAGACAAATTACTACTAACATTGTTGTTTGCTGTCCCTTTTTAAACTTATTTGAGAGCTGTTGCCAACCCATTACCATAAAATCACTCAACTTAAAGGTGCACTATGTACCTTTTAAAAGAAGGACTGCCACCTTTTTGTTTACATGGAGATGTTATGGCTTTTCATTATTTTTTACACAGTATGGTAACTATACATAAGATAAAGTTACCAGTCTGAGTTTTGCATAGGTGACCATACTTACCTTGAAAAGCAAGCATTATGATTGTCTTTCTTGCCAATAAAAACACCTATAATTGAATGAATGCAAGATTCATGTGCAATATCAACAGAACATTTCAGCCAAAACACATTTACGAGACAAGTAGATGACAGGTCCTCAACCAGAAATGTTACATGGTACACCTTTAAACATGTCAGTTTGTAGTTTTCTATGTAAATTCCTTTTCTGAACAAGATATTTGACAAATTTTGTTTTCATTTATAGTATTCACCTTGTCTGAACTATTTTACAAATGAAGGTTATATTTGCACATTATTTGCACATGTCCCTGATTGTGCCCCTGGACTGCTAATAGCTTTTGTGTAGTAGTATCTGTTTGATGACTGTCAAGTGATGGACCTCATCTCCCAAAGTGAATATTGAATTGCATTAAAACAGCAGATTTTTAATAGACTGCTTGGGAATTCTGATGAAGTGCAAATGAATTTCCTTTACACGTACATTAGCGATCTATGAGGCATACTTACAGAGGTGTAGAGGTAGCCTTCGCTGTTCATGGCCAGGTACAGTCCTGTCTTCGCACCCTGGATAGCCACTATTCTCAGTCCCACTGGAATTAAGTTGAACTGTGCTGGAATGAAAAGTTAAGAGGGAGAGAAGTAGTTACAAAGAAAGCAGTACAGGCTTTATGTAGCGAGGCTTAATGGTCACAGTGTCACCGCCGCATGCTACATCTTTCTCAAGCCCAGTGACCTCTTAGTTTATGGTGCAGCAAACACAACACCATGTCACCTTCTCTATTTTTCACTGCCTCTAAATCTGCTCCACAATGACAATGTTCTGCTTCGCTAGATGTAACTGAAATGTTTTGCTCGGCAAATAGAACTCCCCTGTCCAACAAACATCATAAAACATTTAGCACATTAAAAAGACTCCAACCAGGTTAGCCAGGGGTAAAGGCGAATACAAAGTGTGGAATGATGAGGGGAAAGGACAGACACTGCATCGCTGCTGGTCTCAAACCAAATTTAGATTGTGAAAGGTCAGGAGGAACATTCTCATCATCTCAACCTCTGGCTCTGTGTGGCTCTGAGCAGATTCTATTCCTCCTCTTTTACCCGGATAGTCATTTTGGGTTAACTTGGTTGAACATGGTCCTTACTATTATAAACCAATAGGGAAATGCTGATGATTTACTTCTTTTTTTTTTTCATTTGAGATTCAGTACAGTCACATGCATGTTTATCAAATACGCACAGTGCAATCTGAGAATTTCACATTCATAGTAATAATAATAATTCACATCATCATTAAAAAAGTAACAGTGACATAGGATGCATAATGTTATGAGTTTTTAATGTGCTGTTTATTTTTCAGTTAATTAGCTGGTTTATATTTTGAAGACATATGTCAACCCATTGTTAATTAGGGTATAATACTTTATCTAATGGAAATGTGTGTGTGGAGATAGCCACTGTGTAATGGGTGCTGAATAATTTAAAATGATAGAATGTCACCATAAAACATAAACATTGAGCAGAGTTGAATACAATTGAATACATGTCTTCATAATTATAATCTAAATCGTTATACAGTACAGGATAATATGGTTCTCATCCATCCCTGGTAATATGTATATGTACTGTATGACTTTAAGGCATAAAGACTTACTGAAAGAACTGCCTTCATCCCTTGTGCTGTCCACAGTCCCATCAGGCTGCATCTGCAGATAGTATCCATGCTGGCTGAACAGACGCGTCACGATGCCTTTCAGCTGAGGCTCTGCAAGAGACACCAGGGGAGAGCTTCTTAGCAACTGTGTAATAAAGACTCTGCACAACAGATTCATGCAGGTTAGATTAATACTGAGCTCAGATTCTTTGAGGGGAAATTAAGTCATTCATTTAAATGCAGTAAGTATGTAGTAAATGTATTTTTTTTTGGCCATTTTGTAGCAAACCTTTTACACAAATTACACACCAAGCAATGTATTTTGATGAATATTGAAATTATTTGTATGGCATATTTAGTCTTCATATATGTTTACATTTGTACATTTATATTTACTAAAATATAGATGCAGTATTGTAGTCAGTCACACTTGCACATTTGTCTCTTGAAGTGACTTACTGACTTGCATTGACTTAAAACTTTCCTTATGTGCCCTTTATGTATAGCTCACAAAATGTAATTCACCTGAGAACCACTTTAAATTACAGTGGAAGTTGCTGATAGACAGCACAATAAACACGTGCATTGCCCAAACACTGCTCAGGAGTCACAAGGACAGCCATACAGTAGGCCCACATTAGTCATCTCCTGCTCCGAACTGATATTTTTAGCAAAGCTCATGTCAACAGAGGTCAAAGTATAGTGAGAAACATTCATCCAAATGTAATATACAACATAATGAAGAGGTTGAATGTTTTATGAGCCCACTTCCTTTATTAAAGTTTGTATTTTAAGAACCACACACATTTTGCACATCATATACTCTTTCTGTATTCGATAAATTCACTCTCAATTTCATTAAAGACTTCTACCACAGTTTTCTTAAGTTTTAGTCTTAAACAGTAACCACCGGAGCCAGCCTCATCACTGGGATGTAAAAGGGAAACCCAGATGGTGGGTTGTCCCGACATAGCAAGCGCTCAGCTCAGATTATAATTAAGAAAGACAGTAGCTTTTTTGAATGAAACAAACCAGTGTCACAGGAATAATATGACGGTCAGATTATTGTAATCCCTCTTTTCTTGACATTTTTTAAGAAGTAAAACATCCACCTATTACTGGAAAATGGCACTATTGCTACAACCTTCATTATATGAATAAACTAAACTAAATATTAAACCATAATTAAAACTAAAACTAAACTAAATATAAATAAGAACTGAAATAGAAATACGTTCCAAGTCCAGACTAAACCAGGCCTAAAGAAGGTCCACAGATCTCCAAATCTGAAAAAATTAAAACTAAACAATCTAACCATTCTTTCCTTGTGCATTTCAGTAGAGCAGAGGAACCATGGATGAAGATCAGTCATGGTTCCAGTGGATTTGTGGTCACCTGGGAACATCCCACCCCTTCCTGGTTTAAGCTCTGCCCCTTTCCTCTCATCACTTCCCGACGTGGGACACACAGCACTGTGCTATCACCCTGTCCTCTACAGACTGCTAGGGGGAGTACAAAGGTAAGATGTGCAGGACTACACCCTATGGGACAGAATCAGTCAAAGTGTCCTACTCCCATTGTACCACACAAGCTCTCATCTTCCCCACTTTCAAAGGCGCTTGTCAAAACATCTTTCTTTTGCATTTCTTTTGTCTTCCTCTTGAGTTATGTACGCTTTCATCCTGACTAATAACTCCATACATCATCCAATCAGAGAGGAGGAAGCCGTTCATTACACAGTCGCAGAGATGAGAGATGAGAGAAAGAAGCAATGGGAAGTGTGGGGACCGCCAAGTCTTGTCTTTTCATTAAAAATGACAGGTGATGTGCGCTAGAGAAACCATGTTTAGGTTAGAAATTCAATAGACTGTTCATGCAATACAGGAGCAATCACATCTCCCCATGCTTACTGTCATGTATAGAAACGAATGTCTCTATTACCACAGTTTGCTAACATCAACAGTGATACAAAAGCCATTGTGTCCAACACGTCCCCTCCATTTAAACGTGACAACATTGCTAATATTACGATATAAACAGACCGTAATAGCATGTAGGGGATAGTTAAAGCACAGGTATTTGTGATGAGGCCATGGATTGAATACTTTTTCTGTCTGGAAAAACTGTGCATTGATGTCAAACTCAGTTTCACACTGAACTGCATTAGCAAATGAACATTGTTGGCCACTATATAGCTGATTGGCAAGCACTCATTCAGTACAAAATATATAGAGGCTTATCATAGGCCAGTTTTTATCACAAATTTCAATTACTGACTATATTTTCTATTTAATATTGTTATCAAACACATTTGAGCTTCTGGCATTTCATTTCTTTTATGATTGTCTGATATCAGGATTTTATCTCATGGTTTTGTAGTGTGCTAGTTAGAGATTTGATTTTCTGTCTATTGTAGTGCAAATTCTTTCTTGGTTAAATTTTGCTCCTATTTTGTAATGTAATGATAATAGACATTGCCAGAAAAGTAATTAAAATCTCCTACAATACAAGTCACCTAACTTGTGACTACAATGTAAGTTCACAAACTACATTTTAATGACTGTAAACAGAGGCAAATAATGCTTCAACGCATGAATTTTAATATGCTGAAAAGTTATTAATACATTTTTGCTCAGTGGCGCAAAAAGCAGCGCTGCCTACTGAAGCCTTCAGTCATTAGAGGCAGCAAATAACCTGCAGAAATGATTAATTAGTGCAGTAACTTTATTGCAGAAAGGCAAAAGAAAATAGGTAATAATTTCTGTACTTTTGTTGGATCTTTTTAGCAGTTTGTACTTGTCTTGTTCAGTGTAAACACATAACAGCTACTTAAGTGTGTTACTTTTTCAGCAAATTGGCCCTAATCACATGTAAATGAACAAACTGTATAATCACAACAGAGTGAAATCAAATAGCTGTGTTGCTCTGGCTCCCTGAGTGCATTGTGCCAAAACTATTGACAGCATCTGTGCCTCAGTGTTTAATATGGCAGTGTCTGGGCATTGGGGCTGAATACACACAGGGCTGCTATACAAATCTGTCACACTCTGTCATGCCTGCGAGTTATGCAGCCTGCTAATCATAACACAGGAACGAATTGAACGCACTCATTCTGAACGCTACACACCTGCTCAAAGCCGCCGCACTGAAATTGGTTTTTGAAGGTTACGAGTTGTAGGGAAATTAGGAGTAAATGAAGTTAATGAAGGCCAAATGGAAGATGTGCAAACTTAATTGCAAAATATTAGAATACTTTGAAAACACAATTTAAAAAAAAACAACTTTACGTTTTAGTTTGACAAATTGAAATATAACACATTGCTGGACTATTTTACTAGTTTTTAAAAATGCAAATTCAGGACCATAAAAAAGGGTAATTTTATTTTAAACCTGGTGATTTTTCTACTAGATACTGGATTGCCATGATGAGTTCTTTGCAAATGTTAGTAAGAATTTTTGATTGATATATCAGTGCTTTTACATAATTCTTTTGCCAATATATTGCCCATTGAATTATTTATGATGGATGAGGGCACTGCAAATAATCACATTCTAAAATTATTACAAAAATTATGTAATCAAGTAAGAAGATTATTAACATTAACTCTTCAATGTACATGTTTCTTTGCATGCTCAGAGCTTATATCTTTCTACTTAAAAATCGGCTGTTATTATTTTAGTTATTTCATCTGTACTATTTCTGGGCTCTACAAAATGTTTGAGTTGGTGCTGGTGCATTTGGTTGCTGCATAAGCCATAGAGGAGCAGTGACTGATAGTGACAAACAGTGACAGCGGTTTACCTCTGCTGGATTAGAGGAGCATGCAGAGCTGTTTACATGAGCACAGAGAGCTGTGTTAGTGTGACTCACAGTGTGCGCCTGTATCTCACCACTGGGCTAAACACCGGCCAATGAGAACACTAAGGTCACGTGTCCTCCTGACATCTGAAGACTCAATAAAGTAAAGTCTAGAATCCAATGATGTCTTAATTTCAGATGCAGGGCAAAGGTCTATGTAACACTATTGCAAATGTGCTGTTTTTGGGAGAAAATATTTGATCCATAAATGTTGAACTTTATCAATATTTGTTTGGGACTGTCATGTTATTTTTTGGCTTAAAGTCCTTTCAGTTGACAACAATCACATTTTAAAGGTTGAATAATGGCATCACTTTCTGAAGCTATTATATAAAATAAACATCTCTTTTGTTAATTTATACTTACAGAGAAGATGTTAAACTTTGTGTTCATTTTTGGATAAGCCCAGCAATTACAGAGATAATAACCACAAACCAGGTCTAGACCTGTCACGATAACAAATTCTGAAGTGGACTATATTGTTATTTACTTATTAAAAATAAATATAGACAATAAACAATAGTACTGAAACTAATTCATGCCACTGACACAAAAAGCTAAGAACAGATTTAAACCACAAATCCTATTCTAAATGTACAATATTGTTAAAAAATCATGAGCTGCAATAAATCAGAATAAAACACTTCAGTACTTAGTTTGCATCTGTAAAGAGTCATGGACATAATTGATTCAACCTTTTATGACTTAAATCTTATCATATAGCCAAAATATAACAAAAACATTTCACAGTAGTGCAAAGAAAATGTACACACAAGAAATACTGACCCCTAAAATATATTGTTCCAGTTTTCATATATTGAATGATAAGTTGATATAGTAATCATCATGACAGGCCTAATCAGATCCACGAATCTGCAAACTGACATTTCAACACTACCATATAATTCTGACCTATCCAATTTTAAACTACTGGGATTCTAAAATGTTGCAAGTTTATGATCTATATGTTAAGAATACGTGACTATTATTGTAATCAATGTAGGCATTCAACAGAACCACATACTACAAATAAACAGCAAGCGCATTTGTTAATAGATGATATTAGGGACGCCAGTTTCTGTTATAGTCTGCAATTACATTATACAATAAACTATTTTAAATTGTGTTCAATTCCAATCCCTTAACTTTTCAAAAGGGTTCCTGCAAAACCTCTGCCAAAATGTAAAGAAGTGCTCACTAGAAGTCGTTTTTCACGAGTCATTTTCTGTATTTGCCTCGGAAGGAAAACAAT